AAATAGAAACATATTTAAATGTGTATTTATTCAATATTTTAAAAGTGAAAATTGCAAACAGCCCCTTTTCAATTTTAATTATTTTTTCAAAAAACACTATAATTAATTTATTAATAGCCCAATATCTCTCTCCCTTTGAAATATATTTACCTTTAAAATTTTATTTGAAATATAATAGTAAATATTACATGTCCACAAGATTGAGTATCAATAATAATTGAACATAAGCACCAATGGGAGCCCACTGATATATTGGAATTTGTTATTTTCAAATAAAGTTAAATTGGGCCGAATTAAGTATATTAAATGGTGTTAATAAACTTGTATTTTATAATCGATTATTATTAGGATCACAAAATTTTTATTAGATTAAGGGTTTATTTAGGAAAGTTTTTTCACTATTTTGTTTTGAACATCAATAATAATTTTATTTAGCTATTATTTTTGTTGTTGCTTTCTTACTATTTTTAAAAATTTGTATTAAGAAAAACTATTTTTTGCATCCAAAATAGATATTTTTCTTTCCTCACGAATCACAATAACTTCACAACCAAAGCTATAAAACGTTACAACTGTCTCAAACATACCCTAAATATGATATTTGACGTAAATTACTGATTTCAAAGCACTTAAAAGAGTTGAATCATTATTAAATTATATTTCAACCATTATTGTATGATTAAATATACTTTAATTGGCATTATTCAAAGAAAGAAACATCTATCTTGATGAGATAGTTATAATGACATAAAATAACTTGATCATGAAATTGCAAAGTGATGATATCATTCCAGAATAAAATATACAAAATTAGCATTATAATGAGCTAAAATTTGGTTGATCTAATTAAAGTAAATTCACACACACATTACATACACAAACTTCAAATCCAAAATCTCTTCGTTGATAGCTAAAATTCACAACCAACATATCAAAATGAGTTGCTTTCTAAATCCCTGGAGTCAAATTTGCAAAAAAATTGTCTATTTTAACTTCTTAATTAATCAACTAAAGTTTCAATAAATCATCACAATAATAAATCTGTATATCCAATGAAAAGTAACTATCAATTGTATATCTCAAAATATTTTATTTTATTCATTCTCCCAAAATCAATATATAATAGCTAGGAGATTATTACAATTATTATTCTATCACAAACTCCTAACTACAAAAAAAATAAAAAAAATACAAATAAAATTAAAAGAAAATATGAGGATCTCTATCAATCTCACGCTAACTAATATTGATGCCATCCTTGAACTAAATCATAAAAATTGACAAAATAAGCATTAAAGCCCAGCAAGTAACTAGAATTCTATCACTGCTTTCAATGAAATACAAAAGAATCAATATGTATGTCTAGTTCTAGTCAATATCAATCATCATTTACTATGAGCAATAAAAATCTCAAAATCAATAATAAATCAATATGATCAGCATAGTTAAAAGAGATCTATCAACTATCAAATTACAAAAAATAAAAAAGTAAAGAAGATTATCACTCAATAAGCCATATTAATATGATATGCTATGTTGTATCAATATTAATGTCAGTTTGAATTCAGTTATATCTATCAATTAGTTTAATGTATTATACAGTAAATATCATCATGAGTATAATTATGAAGAATAAGGCAAGACATACAGCTTTAATGTAGTTTTTTTTTCATTACATCTGTTATCTGTCATAACTATCAATATGTCAATCTTTTATATTAATCATTTATTTTCACATGTGATTTTTAATAATTATTTAAGAGTCATCACCCTCTAGATACAAGCTATAACTAAGATTATACTACCAACTTTTTATTTAAAAGAAAGCCCATCAATCCACCTTCCTAACCAAATATTATGTTTTAAGAGCCAACTTGTATTCATTATAGCGTTAACAGATATTCTTCCTTTCTTGCATGAAAATGATACATTTTCTATGCCATGTAAGTCAACATCATATATGAAATGCAATAATAAAAAATATAGAAAAATTTACCAAATTTATCTACCATGTATTTACTTCAAAAAAACCATCAATTCCAATTTAACGAGTAAAAAATTTCAATATGGTATAATCAAAAAGCTCATATTAATCAACTTTCAATCAAATGAAGATGACTGTTAAGCCAAATATTCATAATCAAAACAATGAACTTTTTTAAATATTTCAATAAATTTTTTAGTCATTTGATATTTTCATAATTAACACTAAATTTATAAAAATTATGAAAAATAAGAAACAAATAAAGAAAATTCTCAAAATATGAGGTGCAATACATGTTTACAGGCCCTAATACAAGATAATCAGGCCAATAAATATTGAAATCAAAGGTGATTTTGATTTTCTAATAATCTAAATAAGGTATTTTAATAAATAATTTTGATTTTATTTTACTCATAATTGAACAAATATCTCTGTTATTTAACCTTTTTGAGAAATATAACCAAAAGTTCTTTTCAAATAAAAGCACCACTATTATAAGCATGGATTGCTTATTAAAGTATGATGCCAAAAAAAATTTAAACAAGTTTGAATTTGAGCCATATATTAAGAATTAGTTCGAACCTTTATTTGAATCTTATTCAAACCAGCTCCAAACCTTCTTCTTAAATTGTTTCCATTCTCGTGATGCCTCCCTCAACAATGTCACATATTGGCAACTGAATGAGAACTCCTCTTCTCTTCACATGCCATTGGTATGTGATGCTTTCCCCAACAATGACAAGGTCACGCATAGCTTATATTTCGATGCCTTTCCTCGCAAATGTCAACACCTAAATGCAAATTCCTTTTCTCGTTACACATCATTGGTTCATGATGCCTTATTAAGGAGAGATTATTCTGTACGGACACCAAACACAGCTATACATTCAAATACCGAGCGGTACCGCAAGCGGTACCGTGCCCCGATACTGCGGTACCGAGCCGCAGGCTTAGGTATCCTGACGAGATTCGAGTTCCGCACAGAATAATTTTTCCTTACCAAGTGATCTCAAGATCACACATTGGCAATCCTCACATATCATCAGCTTGCATTGCCTTCCCAAAGATATAACAGGTGCTCCTTTTTTCCTTACAGATCATCAATCCACGATGCTTTCTCCAATAACTTTCAAATCGCATGCAAGCAATCCCGTAATACCTTTACTCAGAAAGCTGAAAGCTCTTGCCTGAACATAAACTATTCTCACACCAAGTTAGTCCCATGAAAGATACTCTCATGATGCTTGCACCAAAACATTCAAACCAAGATTTGAAACTTTTTTGAATCCAAGTTCAAACCAAGTTTGAATTCAAACTAATTTGGATCAATTTCATTTGCAGTGGACTTCAATTTTATTTTTTTAATTTATTAACCATTAATATCCGAGCTACTAAATTATGGTTTATAGCAAGGTTAGATGTTGGCAAACTACATGGGTTTGTAAGGGGAAGGATGACTACTTTAGGTAGTGATTATTAAGCTAACATAATCCTTGTGCTTAGGGTTGCATAATCAACTGGATGGGCTTGATCACCGACTAAATATCTCTTAACCCTAGGTTAATGGATAGTTTAGGCTCTAAGCTCCTAGTTTAAGTCACTCAAGACTGAAAAAGCTAATGGATTTGACTAGCTTAGCCAATTGGGATTGAAAAGAAATTTAGCTTCATAAAATTTAATTATCAATTTGGCTAACTTAGGCCAATTAGTCCAATTAGGCTTGTTCAATGAGTTAATTGAGTTAGTTTACATCTAATTAGCTAATTGGATTGATTAATGGGGTTTTCTTAAGTCATTTGAGCTAATTTGCTTAATTGGCTCCATTGACCCAAACTTGCTAAATGTAGGTTTACCTTGGGTCAATTTGTTTAACTCATCTCAAATATTAAACCCATCCAAGCTACTCAAAAATATATATGGTGGAATCTTATCAATCATGTTCATCATCCCAGCCATAGGAAAGGATATTTTTAGCTCACCTTGTCACAATCAACCAAGCATGGAGCCTACTACCCGATAACTAATTATACTCTCCTTCCACTCTAAAGAAATCCGAGCCTCCAACAAAGGCCACTAATGACTTCATAGCACTCACCAATCACACCCTCTAATCTTAGCCCTCACTAGCTGACTTACCTACTCCTACTTGTCTCTACACCCTTAGTGTAACAAGTAACAACAACAACAACAAAAAAAGTATTTTAAAATAAAAAAATTGATTTTCGATTAGAATTGGAGCACTTCAATGATGAGCTTGATAATATAGCGGCGCTCAGCTTGAGAGCACAACGATGCATGTATATTGTAACAACCCAATATAAAAACATATTTGAAAACATTTTCTATAAAACCTTACAAAATCTAGACGGTTCTCCCGTTCAAACTACCCAAATGATAGGTTCTCTAGAGAGAGAGAGTATTACTAAGACCAGACAGACTGATGTGAAAAACTACGTTGCGCAACCGTGACAACTGGATATTACTGCGAAATATGAACTTATACCCAAAATAAATTTCCTCAAGCCCTGTGTCACTTTAATATGTATTTACTTTTTTTTTTTTTTTTTTTTTTTTTTTTTTTTTTTTACCCCCGGGTTTTTTTTTTTTTTTTTTGTTCTTTTTACACACGCAGCTACGTAAGGAAATCTTCTTAAGCTTACTTGTCAATCCGACCAGTCCATACTCGCTTGATTACAACAGAGAGCAAGACCTTGCTTCTTTACTACAATGATATTTATCACAATGAACTAAGAAATCAGAAGAAAAAAAAGTTACAAGATTAGTTGAACCTTTCTCTATCGTGAGGGGTAGAATAATCTATGCTGGGTCCAATTGGAATAATCCCATATGAATTTAGACTGGGATGGCTTCCATAGTAGCTCTTCCTAATGTGTTCCATATTAACAGTGCTACTTATGCCTGGGATTTGGTAAATATCTTTGGTGTAATTGAAGAGATTCGGATATTCACGGATGAGTTTCTTGTTGCATTTGAAATGAACAGCATAAACCTGTTTGAGCAAAGAATCAATTAGTAATCTCTTTGGTACAGAAAGAAAAGGACCAAGCTGTGCTTATTTTTAATGGACTACAGAGGGCCAATGACAACATCAGTAAGACCTGTGTTTAATATGAAATTTGGGGACTCTCCGAGGAGTTCAACGAGTAATGAGAAACTTGAGGCTAGATGACTTGAGGATGCTTGAAATTGTTCTTGCTGACTTCTTTTGGACTATACAAATGTTGTATGTTGAAAAGGCTCCTTGGATCAATCAAGTAGTCTATTGTTGCCTCAAAAATCTTGTACATAGTAAAAAACTATCAAAAACATATCGAGAGATTAACGGAGATTACTTCAGCGCTCAAGTCAACTTTTGATTTTTTTTTTATTTCTCTCTCTCTCTCTCTCTCTCTCTCAAAATCAAATAGAAGGAATGATAAGAGCGAATAGAAATGAGCAGCCCAAGCTTTACTTGTAAACAAAATTGAGGAGCTAGGGAGCATTTTGGTGATCAGACCAAGCTGGCTCCGAAGGCTCTTTAATGTTACTTTGGACAAACAAATCCCTAGGTCACTTATGATGATATAGATGTTAAGATCCCATCATAAAATGTCTTGGGGCTAGAGAATGATGAAGAGGAGATGAAGATGTTGGTTGGAGTAGAATTTTAATAGGGTATTACCATGATAGAAAACACATAGAAGAGATATTAGTGAGATGGAAAGGGAGGCAGGGAGAGAGAGAGAGGGACAAAGAAGAGATAAAGAAAGAAAGGAGCCAGCATTGCCTAGGGTAAGAAGGGACCAAACAATTGATGTTTTATTCAATATCAATGTGGAAACCCTAAATATCATAGTAACCTTTATTAGTGATCAAAACGCTTGCATAAGGAAAAATCAAATATATGAAAGAGTTATACATTGTGCACAATCTATCCTTTATTAACTAGGCCAAATATGACGAAGAGTGGATTGTACCATAAAATTAATCAACCAAATTATATGATTGATTGAATAAGTATTAAAACTATTGTCATGTGTCCGATCCTTGCATTTTGGTGCCTACGTGTTTGTGACACCGTACTTTTGGCCCTCCACTCTCGCACGAGGTGTATGCTACTCGTGCGCATAATGCGCTTGCATATGCTTTAGATTTGCTCATGCTAGCTTCCGCTTGAGGTTGCAATCCTTTCTTTGACGTAAATGCATCCTAGTGTCGGCATCTCTGGTGCTCTGGTCTCATCGTTTAACTACCGACCTTGCGTCTTCAAGAAGGTGCTTTACCTCTATCACTCGTTAATTTTGGCTCATCAACTTGTTTTCTACAAAGTGTGCTTCAAAGATGACAGGAGAAACTTCAAGATGTAGAAGAAGAACACAGAAACATAAGAGAGAACCATATGACCAGGTGTTATTTGTACAGTCAATTGATATCTTAAGTAGGATTTCTTTTGGATAGTATAAATGTTGCATGTTGAAACTGCTCCTTTTGTCAATTGAGTAGTTGAGGTAAGCCATTGTTACCTTAAAACTTTTGTACAACTACAATAACAACAACAATAACAAGAGCATCAGCCCTCATCCCACTACGTGGGGTTGGCCATATAATTCCTTTTTATCCATTGTATCTGATTCTAATAAAGAAAAATCATTTCTAATATTTTCTAACAAAGTCTTTTAGGTCTATCTCGACCTCTACTACATCTACTCTCCTAACTAGGTCATCGGAAGGCTACCATTTTACGTGACCAAACCATCTAAGATGACTCTCTCTAATCTTATCTTCCACTGGAACTACTCCAACCTATTCACATATATGCTCTTTTTGTATCCTATCTCTAAGAGTAAAGCCACTCATCCACCTGTGCAACCTCAACTGAATAATGACTTAAGGTAGAGAGATATGCGGTTGCAGTGGTTGTAACCAACCATCACAACTAGTTCTCCACGTCCTGTATAGCCAATTGTCATCTATATATGCATATTGTTGTACAAACATTATTAATGAAATGAAGAAACAAGATTTTCCTCTCTACTGCATATCCTCTCTACCTTAAGTTTGTTTCTCTGTTTTCTGCTAGCATTTAGCCAGCAGGTTTATCATGGTAGCAGAGCTATAATGGTTGATCAAGATTCGGCAGCCTCCCCTCCAACCAACTCCAATATCTCAACCTCACTAGCCGAGTTCACGGTTCCCGTCCTCCTCAAATTCCTAATCTCCAATCTCAAAAATCTTGTTATAACTCAACTGAATAATGACAACTATGTTATATGGCGCTTCAGCTCTAGCAAAAATTTTCTACCAATGGATTCGACGGACATCTTGTTGGCACTCAACCTTGTCATATAGATCCATCTACCCTCAATTATGCTCTCTGGTACCTCATTGATTGCAACCTAATTTCTGCTCTTCTCTCCACCATCTCCCCATCCATTTTACCCTATGTCCTCACCCTCTTTACGGCTCAGGATGTTTGGCTAACTCTTGAGAGGCGACTCCAACCTACCAACAGATCTCGCATAATTCAGTTAAAGAACGAGCTTCACCAAATCCAAATGAGAGACCACTCAATGGAAGAATACTTGGCTCAGATCAAATCCCTGGTGGATAATATTGTCGATGCCGGATCCAAAATTGACACTGAAGATATAATCCCATACATTCTAAATGGCCTTCCATCCACTTACAATCCCTTCAAAACTATAATTCGCACCTTTCTCAACCCAATCAGCTTAGATGTACTCTACCCTCTATTATGCAGCGAAGAGATTAATCTCCAGAATGAATATCTCAAAGATACAAACCAACATTCCCACACAACTGCACTTTTCACCAATCGATCAGTTCAATCTCACGGATGCCCACCCGCATCAACTACAAACCGATATCCTCGTGGACGAGGCACATTCTCCCGAACTCCCTCTTCCTCCACTTGTCTGCCTCAGACCACACCTACAACAACTAATCGACAAACGTGTCAAATTTGTGGCAAACTTGGACATTCGGCTTTAAATTGCTGGCATCACCGTAACTTCCAATATGCACCTACAACCTCCTGGTCACCATGAGCTCTTCTCACACAACAGCCATCAAACTCATCATCGGAGTGGGTGCTTGATTCTGATGTCTCTTCCCATCTCATCTCCGATGCAACAAATCTACAACACTCTATTACCTATCACGGTGCTGATATTGTTTCAATTGCTAATGGCACCTCTCTTCCAATACACAACACCGGTCAAGGACTCATGCCGCTACCAGACTCAGCCTGTAAGCTTCATCTTCATAACCTCTTACATGTCCCTTCCCTATCCCATAATCTTATTTCAATCTCAAAGCTAACTTTAGATAATAACGTTTTTATTTGTTTCAACACAAATGAGTTCATTATTAAGGACTTGCATGACAATTACCCTCTTCTACATGGTCATCTACATTATGGTTTCTACCATCTTCGGTTTCATTCATCTTCACCTCCTACGACTCTCTGCGCCACAACTTCATCTATACTTCTCTAGCATATGCGTCTTGGCCACCCTCATCATAGGCTTCTTACAACCTTCGCTAAATCTATTCTAGAACTATTAAATTTTTCTTCTTCTTATATTTTTACTTCTTATAATGTGGCTAAAAGTCACAAATTACCATTTAATTCAAGCAGTTCTTGGTCTAAAAAACCATTTGAACTAGTTCATTATGATGTATGGTCCCGCTCCCCTGCCTTAATTTAGTAGACACAAATATTATGTAATATTTGTCGATGATTTTACAAAATTCAGATGGCTCTATCTCATGCACTCAAAACATGAAACTTTCATTAAATTTCAAAAATTATATAATCTAATTAAAAATAAATTTAAAACCCTTCCAATCAATTTCTGCTCCGACCGTGGAGGTGAATTTACTAGCACACAATTCAAAGAAAATCTCTTACATCTCGGTATCACTCATCATATCAGTTGTCCATACACACCTGAACAAAATGGCCTCACCGAACGCAAGCACCCTCACCTACTTAATCTCACAAGGACACTACTTCATGCCTCTCATCTTCCTATAACATTCTGGGCCAAAGCACCGTCCACAGCTAACTACTTAATCAATCGTATCCCTTCCAAAAAAAATTCTCTTCAAAATCCCTACCATAAGCTTCACGACAAACCTTCCTCCTACAAACACCTTCAAACGTTTGGTTGCCTCTGCTTTCCATGGCTACAACCTCACACAAAACAAACTCTCTCCATGCTCACAATAATGCATCTTCCTAGGTTATTCCTCCACTCACAAAGGATTCAGATGCCTTAACCTCCACACAAATAAACTTTACATTTCCCATCATGTTATCTTTCACAAAACTGCTTTTCCCTATCAGTCATCATGTTCCTCAACTAGTACAACAAATGCCACACCCAATCTCTCCCCACTTCTACTAATTCCCACCTCCACAATTACTCCCACTCACCAAACTAACTCCCCATCCCCAAAATCAACTTCACTGATGCCTACAACAATACCCGATAACACCATAGCCAATCCCATATCTACCGAACCCTCCTCCATTAGTATTGATTATTCAGACCCTACACCATTGCAACCACAACACACCCACCCATCCAATGCTAACCAGGCTGAAATCAGATCTGACACGCCCCAAGAAGATCTTCGATCTCTCAACAGTTTCCTCCTCAAACTCCAACCCAACTTCATACTCTCAAGCCGTCCAACACCCACATTGGCGTACAACTATGTCATCTGAATTCCTGGCTCTTCAAAAGCAAGGTACTTGGTCACTTATCCCAAAACCATCAAATCAACCAATTCTTGGCTGCAAATGGGCATACAAGACAAAATTAAAACCAAACAGTCAAGTTGATCGTTACAAAGCACGCTTCGTAACACAAGGCTATACACAAAGAATTCAGGATCAACTACACTGACACCTTCAACCTAGTAGCCAAGATGCTAACAATACGCATACTTCTCACTTTAGCATTACAACATCGTTGGCCCATTCTTCAAATGGATGTTTCAAATGCTTTCCTTCATGGAGATCTTCAGGAAGAAGTTTACATGAAGCAACCAACCGGCTTCATTGACTATCAGCATCCAGACTACGTTTGCAAGTTGCATAAATCATTCTATAGCCTCAAGCAGGCGCCTCGACAATGGTTTCAAAAGCTCACTATATTTCTTCGACAATTCGGGTTTACCTTCAGGAAAGCAGACCCCTCTCTCCAACTATACCGTCAAGCAACTATTCAATCATACATACTCATTTATGTTAACTACATATTAGTCACTGGAAATGACACAACAACAATTCAGAACCTTCTCAAACAAGTGAGCTCAAAATTCTCATTAAAGCAATAGGGAACCATTTCTCTATTTCTCGGAATTCAGGTACTTCCAACGTCAAATGAGTACTTTCTCCACCAACATCATTATGCCAAGAACTTACTTCATACTGCTGATTTTACTTCCTGCAAACCGTCACCTACATCAATGGCTCTCAAATCAAGTCGCGGCCAAACATCTGATCCGTTATCCTCAGACCCCAAGCTCTACCGCCAATTAGCTGACTCACTTCAATATCTCTCAATCACGAGACCGAATATTGCCTTCGCCACGAACTCTATCTGCCAACATATGCATCAACAAGGGCAAAGCGACTATCAAGCTCTCAAAAGACTGCTGTGATACATCAAATGAACAATACATTTCGGTCTTCCCTTAACCACAGGTGATCTTCAACTATGATCCTATGCCGACGTGGACTGGGCGACTGATACTACAGCAGAAAATCAATTACAGGTTTTTGCACTTTCCTAGGAAGCAATCTAATTTTCTGGTCAGTGAAGAAACAAATCACCATGGCAAAATCATCAACGGAGCATAATATCGCTCCATATCCTCCGCCACCTCAGATGTTCTGTGGCTTCGTCACTTGGTTGCAGAATTTCCAATCCCTCAACTTTCATCGACTGTAATCTACTGTGACAATACCTTCGTCATTGCCCTTGCAAACAATCCGGTGGTCCACGCAAGAACGAAACACATTGAAATTGAATATCACTTTATCGGTGAACATATCAACTCTGGTGCAATCACCATATCTCACATCAATTCCACAAACCAAATAGCTGACGTCCTAACAAAATCACTTCCAACGGCACGTTTCTTAGATCTTTGTCTCAAACTAACCATTCATTCCATGAATAATTAGTTTTGCGGGGGCCTGTTAGCATAGTCATCAAATGAGTGGATCATGAATATGTCTCAGAAATGGTAGCGCCATTACCTATGCAGTTGCAGTGGTTGTACCATCACAACTAGTTCTCCACGTCCTGTATAACCAATTGTCATCTATATATACATATCGCTGTACAAACATTATTAATGAAATGAAGAAACAGGATTTTCCTCTCTACTGCATATCCTCTCTACCTTAAGTTTGTTTCTCTGTTTTCTGCTAACATTTAGCCAGCGGGTCCATCACCAAGGACTCCTTGGAGTCATTGAAAGGCCTAATCTCATTAGACTGGAAGATGAATTAAAACTGATGTAAAACACCGGAATGCATCCTATGAACCACAATTTATAGTAGTGTCCTGTGTGCTCAACCACAAATATCTCCAAAACAAATGAATAAATTATAAATATGTCCTATTTTCGAAAATAATATCAAAGTATTAAATAAATAAGAAGATATCAAAGTGAGCATGATGCATATGCATTTTTACAAATTAGATTACAAGCCTGATGGAGACATCAATATGCTAACCTAGTTATGAAATGTAGGAAAACTCTAGAAAGTATTGGATGTTCACCATCGATTGGAGGATAACGACAACATCATCAGTATGTTGGATATGCCCTCTCCCTTGGAACATTCCCAACTATTCCATTCACAATGAGAGCTTGCTGTTATAAACATGATGGGGACCAATTCATAGAAGTATACATATATCCAAATAAAATCAAAAGTACCTTAGATAATATTAAAGCCAACATTTCATAAATTCCCCACAAATTTTAAAAAATTGTGCCAATGACAACGAATCTAGACTAAAATACAAATTGAGCTTCTTCTCCTCTGGATGACTTTATTAGCTTAATCAATGCCCTAGAAGTCAAAATCAACTCTAAACTTAATTGAGCCTATTCTTTTAAAAGGAGTTGGACAATCCAGAGGTTAGATCAAGAAGTGTACCACAAGCTCCCAAGACAGCTTCATTTGCCTAATTTGATCTAGTAGGGAATTGAAATAGTCCCTCAGATTTAATATAAATTCTAGATGTTCACAAAGTTGAGAAGGATTTTCATAAAGAGAGAAAATGAGACAGAAAATTGGGCAAGAAGCAAATGAGATAGAGAGATCTATTAAAGAGATTTCCTTAAAGAAAGGATGAGGCAATTGAGATAAACAAAGAAGGTTTTGGACACTTGAATTTTCTAGAGGGAACTTCCTATAACAGGCCAAGAGTGAGGAAGGCCAAGAGTGAGGAAGATAAAAAGAGAATAATGAGAAATTGTAGTTTTAATTCTATTGCCAACGCTTAATAATTGAAAACTCCATTATATTTATAGACATTCAATGAAATGTTTAAAAATACTATTTTAATATAAAAGCTAATTTTAAAATTTGAAATAAATTATCATGCATGACGGTGGGTATTCCCTTGTTTGATGAACGATAATAATAACTTTCAACGAACAAACTAATTTTCCTAAATATGATATTCAATTTTAAATCTTCAAATAGTAATATAATAATATTATTTTAATAATTTCTTAAGACTTATTACGCCATCCTTCATAGAGTTAGATTTTTTTTTTGCATGGTCAATGACATGTTAGATGAGAGTCAAATTTAAATCATATTAGAGATTTTGTGGTAATTTATGTAGCTTGATAGGCTCAAATGTAAATAAACATTATAATTTTCTGTCACTTGATTTAGTTACATCTAGGTAGACTAAAACCACCCAAGATTGTATGCATGGTTTATAAACTTGGTTCACTCTTAGATTTTTTGCTTAAGCTTCAAATCTTCATTGTTAATTTAATCTAGGTTAGCTTATTTTGGTGCACCCTCCTGGGTCCACTCAGAGAATTTGCTAGTTGAAATAAATAAGAAGCCCGCTACTGGAGGAGAGCCTCTTAGATAATTTCTCATATAATTTTACAGAACTAGTTTACCAAAAGAAGAAAAAAAAAATCTCAAGTTATTCTAGTTTATGAAAATCAATATAAGTTGCCCAAATCAAATGAAGAAGAAAATTAAAGTGAATCAAAATAAGCAACTTAGGCCCTATTTATAGCTAAGGATGGAGCACTGAAAGAATAACAAAAGTTGGTTAATGGTGAAAGAGGTTGCATCATGCCACACCAAAATTTAGGGGTTGTTTTTTTTTGCCACTGTAATCCTAGGCCGTTTTAGAGTTCTTCGGGAAAGATCTTAAAAAGCTATATACGAGGAATGTCACGTTGACAAAGAGTTGCGTTGAAGGAAAGGAACTTCTAAGAAACCTTGAGTGAGGAAACATATGAAAGTTGTTATGATAGACTCAAGATTCAAATATATGATCAACTTTTGACATTTGTTCCAGTTGATCATCAATCAACACTTAATGAGTCATTTTACGATAATCATGCAATAATAAACTATCCTTGGCCATGGATGGTTGAAAACTTCTGCAGCTTGAACAAATTCAATTCAGGTTAAACCAAGTAAGGCAAGTTTAAACTCATTCTCTCAAATCAAGCCTTCATATAAGCTACATAAGGGTGAATCAAAGCATCCCACACCATGCTTGTGAAGTATAGAAGCAATTTGATAGGAAGTAGATGCACTTTTCACAAAAATCAGCGGATGAAACAAAAATTTGAAAAAAAGAATGCCCAAAATAATTTTTATTGGAAGAACTATAAAGAAAAATGCAAGATACAATTGGATCTTCAATTGAAGAGGAAGATCCAGCTCTCCCAAATCCCTAGCCGTCAGCTAGAGCCAAATAACCTAATAATAAACTAAATCCAGCAAACTTGCAAAACCTCCTCTGAAATCACCCCATAGTTAGCCTTAAATAGGCTCCCACAATTCCCTCGCAAATCAGCCCCCTTTTCCTAAATAAATCTCTCTCAGGTTTGAATTTAAATTTGATTCATTTATCTAATTAATTACCTAACAATTGTAATTAAAACTTTCCTAAGCAATCCTCCTTAATTCGTCCTCATTTTCCCTAAACCCTTTTAGATTTTGAATTCAAATTAGATATCTTACCCTAAATAATTCTCTCCCAATTATAATTAAATTTTTTCCTAAACAAGTCCCCTTTGATTAAGAACCTTCCTAAATAGTTCCCTCTTGATTAAGAAACTACATAATTCCCTCTCAATCAAATCAGCAAGTCCATCAATACTCCTCTCTCAAGGTGTCACCTTGTTCTCAAGGTAGAATGAAGGAAACTATTGTTGAAGCACTGGACTAATAGCAATAGACTGAAAAATGGACTGTCATTAGGTCGAATGATCCCTGCCTCCAACATCTCCCAGATCAATCTCTCCATCTCATCCTCCTGGAGTTAGGGAGAATGTTACGGACGAACACTGATATGTGAGACTCCGTCCTTTCAAATGATAGCATGATCGTGTTCTTGCGAAGGAAGCAACCCATGAATTGGTTGGAACACCTCTCGATATTCCTGTATGAGTGGTTGAACCATGTTGGGTGCTTGTATCTTCTTCCAATTTTCTTTTCCTTCTAAACTCTGCAGCTCCATAAAAAATCTTACACCTTCACCATTTTCCCTCCATGGAAGTGGCTCCAAAGATGGCATCTCCTCTTCTTCCCCCAAAATTTTCACCTCCTGATTCTCTCTCATTATCTCTATATTAGAGTTTCTCCCATTTTCTTATCCAGTCAATGATGCTCTAATCTTCGATGTTGTCGGTTTGATTTGGTCCTCAAGCAACTTCTTTATCATCTCCAAAATGATGAAAAATTTCTTATCGATCTTCTAATGGATGCTGAAAATTATTTTTTGAAACTTGAAATCTTTTCTATAAAATTAGATTTTATTTGTCTGATGTCCTTTTTCAACACTTCTACATTTCTTCCCATCATAGGTACCCAGATCTAGGCTCTGATAACAATTTGATAGGAAGTAGATGCACCTTTCACAAAAATCAGCAGATAAAACAAAAAATTGGGAAAAAGAATGCCCCAAAACAATTTTTATTGAAAGAACTATAAAGAGAAATGCAAGATACAATTGGTTCTTCAATTGGAGAGGAAGATTCAGCTCTCCCAAATCCCTAGCTGTCAGCTAGAGCCCAAATAACCTAATAATAAACTAAATTCAGAAAACTTCCAAAACATCCTCTGAAATCGCCTATAGTTAGCCTTAAATAGGCTCCCATAATTCCGTTCTAAATCAGCCCCCTTTCCCTAAATAAATCCCTCTCATATTTGAATTCAAATTAGATTTATTTCCCTAATTAATTGCTTCCCAATTGTAATTAAAACGTTCCTAAACAATCCCCCCTTAATTCCTCCTCATTTTCCCTAAATAATATCATCTTAGATTTTGAATTCAAATTAGATCTTTTGCCTAAATAATTCCCTCCCAATTATAATTAAAAATTTTCCTAATCAAGTCCCCTTTGATTAAGAACCTTCCTAAATAGTTCCCTTTTGATTAGGAAACTTACTAATTCTCTCCCAATAAAATCGGCCAGTCCATCACAATTATGATTGATATTATTGGCAATTTTAAGCTACAACCAAACCTACAAGGCAACCTTGAGCTAAAGGGAGGAGATGCGATGCCTGCTTGATTGTCTGGGGCTGAGGAAGTAATGGGGCCACCGATTTTTATAGAAAATTATGGATGAAGATCGTCACCCTCTACTTTAATGGATGATCATTGGCCGCCAAAGTGTCTAGCAGTATTGGTGTGGGCAACTAGAAGAATAAAATCCCTATCATACGGTAATTACTATTAGTACAAGAAAATGAAGGGGAAGACATAATAATTAATTGAATTAGTTGATCGAGTTTGAATCGCAACCAATCACTAGAGATTGTGGTGGTTCCGGCTTATGACACTAGCATAGAAGAGTAGATTCCTTAGTCCAAGGTAAGAACGGACCAAACCAAGTTTGCCAAGTTGAGTCAAGCAAGATGGGTCATGATAAAGTTTGATGTGGCTGAAATTGAAGGTGATTTTGCATCCACATGATATTATTGAGTTCGTTGTTACTTTACTTAATGTTCAGGGGTATTTTTTTAGATCCAACATAGCTGTTGGATTTCACATGAGTGCAAATGAAACAACAAATTTCAAAAGATATTGCTAAATTAGATCTAAGAGAGGTTAGAAATATATGAACGCTTGTAAACTGTCGTGATAAAAGCAAATTCATTAAACAAAAAAGAATTACAAATAATTTAAAATAGATATCATATAAAATTTAATAAGTAAAAGAAAGCTAGAAGATTTGGCAAATAGAACACTGAATCCAAAAAATAGATTTTAATTTTCACATAATAGGCTAAATTTAGAGAATAGAGAAAGGATTGTATACAAAATAACTTGTGCAAGAAAAAGGTAACCTAAAAACTTTGATATAACATATAGACATCAGTGGAATCTTATTCAAAGACCAAATTTAATGAAAGATATAAATGTGATTTTAAAAAGTTATTAAATATCTTTAAGAAGAATAACTTTATGAAAGCACAAAATTAACCAATAAAATACTAATTGAGATCAGGAGTAAAGGGACATGCTCCAGACACTGAGACACACGTTTAATGAGAATTTTAGATGAAATTCTAGAGATTAAAGGAATGCTACAAGATTACAGAAGTACTTCAACATGAGTTATTAAGAGTAGTATGCTAAGAACAACAATAACAATTTTAAGCCTTTATCCAGGTCAGTTACATGAATCTCTTTTCTCAATTTTGTCCTATTAGAATTGAAATAAATTTAGGGGATTCAAACTTATAAAGACATAATAAATTGAAAAAGGAGCAAGAACAATCAGAGGCCAAACCTAACCTAAAGGATCTATCTAAACGTTAAAATCATATATGACATGAAAAAAAAAAAAGCTTGTGGACCTATAATAATGGGCCCAAAACATAGATAGCTCCAGGTATTTAATCCTAAGTAGCTTTGGCACTGTTGATTTCTTCTTTATCATTTCAGAAAATCAAAATATCTAGGAGTGAATAATCCAAAGATGTTAACTTCGACATAACCAAGTATAATTAATCATGCAAGCATGATAAGAAGACAATAAGTTTGCTTGATCAATGGTTTATTCTAAACAATGCTTTTTCTCTTGGATTTTGAATGCAAATGTTCTTGTTCTTCCTCTCATCCCTCTTGTGTTGATTTTTTCTTGGATTTGGAGGAGAAATTTCATCTTGAAGGAAAATTAGGGCAAACCCTAATTTGTGAAACCTAAGGCGTATCAGTGTCATAGTGTGGCCAATTAGAAGAATAAAATCCCTATCATACGGTAATCACTATCAGTACAAGAAAATGAGGTGGAAGACACAATAGTTAATTGAATTAGTTAATCGAGTTTGAGTCGCAACCAATCACTAGAGGTTGTGCTGGTTGCAGCTCATACCACTAGCATAGAAGAGTAAATTCCTTAGTCCAAGGTAAGAACGGACCAAACCAAGTTTGCCAAGTTGAGTCAAGCGAGTTGGGTCATGATAAAGTTTGATGTGCCTGAAATTGATGTTGATTTTGCATCCACATGATAATATTGAGTTCTTTGTTACTTTACTAAATGTCCAGGGGTAGTTTTTTAGATCCAACATAGCTGTTGGATTTCACATGAGTTGCAAATGAAACAACAAATTTCAAAAGATATTGCTAAATTAGATCTAAGAGAGGTTAGAAATATATGAACACTTGTAAAGTGTCGCCATAAAAGCAAATTCATTAAACAAAAAAGAATTACAAATAATTTAAAATAGATAGCATATACAATTTAATAAGTAAAAGAAAGCTGGAAGATTTGGCAAATAGAACACTGAATCCAAACAAAAGATTTTAATTTCACATAATAGGGTAAATTTAGAGAATAGAGAAAGGATTGTATAAAAAATAACTAGTGCAAGAAAAAGGAAACCTAAAAACTTTGATATAACAAATAGACATTAGTGGATTCTTATTCAAAGACCAAAATTAATGAAAGATATAAATATGATTTTAAAAAGTTATTAAATATCTTTAAGAAAAATAACTTTATGAAAGCACAAAATTAACCAACAAAATACTAATTGAGATTAGGAGTAAAGGGACATGCTCCAGACACTGAGACACACGTTTAATGAGAATTTCAGATGAAATTCTAGAGATTAAAGGAATGCTACAAGATTACAGAAATACTTCAACATGAGTTATTAAAAGTAGTATGCTAGGAACAACAACAACAATATCAAGCCGTTATCCTACTACGCGAGGTCAGTTACATGAATTTTTTTTCTAATTTTTTTCCTATTAGAATTGAAATAAATTTAGGGGATTTAAACTTATAAAGACATAATAAATTGAAAAAGGAGCAAGAACAATCAGAGGCCAAAACTAACCTAAAGGATCGATCTAAACGTTAAAATCGTCTATGAGATGAAAGAAAAAAACTTTTGGACCTATAATAATGGGCCCAAACATAGATAGCTCCAGGTATTTAATCCTAAGTAGCTTTGGCATTGTTGATTTCTTCTTTATCATTTCAGAAAATCAAAATGTAGGACTAAATAATCCAAAGATGTTAACTTTGACGTAACCAAGTACAATTACTCATGCAAGCATGATAAGAAGACAATTAGTTTTCTTGATAAATGGTTTATTCTAAACAATGCTTAATTCCTGTACCTATTCCTCTGCAACAATCGATAATTCAATATGTCACAGATTTTGACTACATCAAAATTCTAAACATAATGATAAAATTGCTGCAAATTTTTTCAATAAGGGAGTAAATAGCAAAGTGCATCGAATTCTTGCAAATCTTTGAAAGGGTGGTAGAGAAGTTATGCTTATGACCATGTTTTGTAAGAAAAATATTATTAAAGCACATAAGGATAAGGAATGAGTCATATGAAAATTGAAAACTCCTAATTCAGAAGTACATGTAATCACACTGCAATCAGTGGGACTAAAAGTAACAAAAAATATATTAGCAAACTCCTGTTTCAAAGACTTAAGGAAAGATTTAATGTATATTTAAGGATCATACCTCATCAAACCTTATCAAAGTCACAAAAAGACGAATATCAGCATCAGTAAAGTGATTCCCACAAATATAGTGTTGATTGCTTAGTATCTCCTCACATTTGTCCAAGGCTTCATATAACTGCGCCACAGCCTAAATGAAAGGCACGGTATCAGTAAGATGAACATCTTTGATTAAAATGGATACTTTGGCTCAATGATCTGACCCACGAAAGTTATATTACCTCATCATAAGGCTCCTGTTTCCTAGCAAACCCACACTTATATACACCAAGACTTATCCTATCATAAACCCATTCATTGGTCTCATCAATAAGTGCTTGCAAGTGAGAGGGATACAAGTCTAAGTCAGCATTTTTGGCAATTTCATTGAACTCTGTGTTCAACATACGGATTATTTCTGAACTCTCATTGTTAACAATTGTTTTGAGTTTCTTATCCCAAAGAGCCTGTCAAAGATAATGTCAAAAAATTTCTTAAATGAAAGACTCGCTAAAAGGAAAATGGAATTCAACAATGAATAAAACCAAATACTCCACATACAGGTACAGTATATTTTCCGCAATAATTTGAGTTCGCAAGCTCATAAAGTTCTCTAATACTCTTAGCTCCATTCAATGTGTCAGGATCAGCCCCAGATTCTTCTGTGCTAGAAGAAGGAAAGACCCATCCAAAATAGTCATCGGTCGATTTAGTTCTCTCCCATTTTGGTTTAACTGACTAAAAGAAGAAGAAAAAATAGTTAGAACATAAAGATCAAAACAACAAGCATGATAAAGCATGTCAGAGAAACTCATCATATGATGTTATTTATTATAAAAAAATTAAAAAAAAATAAATAAAACATGTCAGAGAAAGATAAAACAGAGTTACTGAGAAACTGATGGCTTTGTCCAGTCCTTTTAGTTTTAAATATGTCAGGCATCTACAAGCAAAGGGGCATGCAAATGATATGTAAAGATGGTATCTTCCAGATTCTGCAGGAAACTGAGAGGTCGGATCTTTTGAAATAAAATTGCGAAAAGTTGAAGCCGAGGGGTTGAAAGCTCCAGGTTCTGACACTTCATCCAGAGCATGCTGAGCCATTGAAAGTGTAATCTGAAGATTCCATAAATTCAAAATCAGCGCAACAGAAGCTAGCTGAAGGTTATACGTTCATTTAACAAGAAAATGTTGCATTTAGATCACTAGGAAATTATTGCAATAAAATATCAGTGTTGTTTGAAATATTTAACAGGCATAAGTTCACTGAAGCTTCACAAAAGACAATGCAATTAGCATCACTTAAACTATTAGATTATGGAAAACATGAAATAGTATAAGATACCAAAATCTTTTTATCCGTCTTCTTTGCACATAATGCATTATCTACTAATCTACTAGAACTTGACTACAGATCATAAATAATCATTTTTAAATGATTTCTTAATTTGCATATCATGTAGAAAATGATTATTAACATAGTAATAACTAATAGCAAATTTAAACTTCCATGGCATAATAGAAAAAAAGGCAAATTTCAAAAACAATGAAAATAGCTTGAAAGTAATAATATGCATGCACCAATTAGATTTTTCCGGGACAGTTCAATAATCATAAACACTTCCTACAAAATCTTACACAAAAAACAAGTTCTCACCCTTAAGAAAAAAAAATATAGTAGTATAAGTATATAAAAAAAATTAGACAATTCCTTGTGATCGTGTAAAACACTATCATTGTCAGGTCCCAAATCCTGGATGAGAAAAAATAGAGGGTTACATTAGGTAGTCGGCAGCTAGCATAAAACTTGTCGAATAATCATGACATGAATCTTTTAATACATTGTGTTACTGTTAAGATGTTCATTGAAAGCAATGCATTATAATGAAATTATTAAATATTATGTTTTATGAAAAATAAATATTCTAAGCATTCAGGAAACTAAATGGATTGGAGAGAATGCTAAAGAGATTGATGGTTTAGGAATATTTGAAAATCATTTATGGTGGCCATGGGTTTGAAGCGACTAATGAAGACGGTTGGATCATATTAAGTTTTGCTCTAGCTTATGATTTTGTAACTTCTAATATATATTTAAGAAAAGAGATGAGCATCTCATCACTTATAAAAATAAATATAATAAAACTCAGATTATTCATTTTCTTATAAGAAATATATATCAATTAGATTGCAAAAATTTTAAAATCATTCATAGTGAAAGTTTACGTACCCAATATCGCTTATTAATTTTGGACTTTAAGATGAAGAGATGGATTATAAAAAATAAAGTAAATTATTAATCGAAGATTAGATGGGAGAACTTAAAGAGCAATAACAAAAGTATTTTTGAGAGTAAATTTTAAGATCTTGTGCTTTTAACTATGCATAAGGAAGCCAATATTATGTGAGAAAACATAATTAGTAATGATGCTACTAATAGTAAAAATAGTTGTCAGTGGAATCAAAATGTACAAGAAAATATTAAAAAAAAAAGAATCTTTGTTATAAAAATTGGTTTAAGTGTAAAAGGTTGGAGTAGCTCCAGGAAAGATAAGATTAGAGAGAGTCGCCTTAGAAGGTTTGGTCACATAAAACATCTATCTTCCAATAACCCAATTAGGAGAGTAGATGTATTAGATTTGACCTATGTTAAGAAAGTTAGAGATAGACCCAAAAAGACTTAGTTAGAAAATATTAGAAATGACATTTTTATTAGATTTAAATGAAGATTTAACTCTACACATAACACAATGCAGAAAATTATTCATGTAGCCGACTGCACATAGTGGGATAAAAGCTTGATGTTGTTGTTGTTGCTGCTTGTGCTCGTGTAAAACAAAAACTTGATATCTCTAAAAATTTTTCTAACCTATGAAAATAGTTTGTGTTCCACTTTCTTAAAATGAAAAGAAAGCAATTGTTATGCCTTGATTTTCTTACATTCTCTCTCCTTTTTTCTACTTGATTTGATCTTTTTTGTTGTGAAGCTTGGGGAATCGTCATCATCATCTTTCACAAATGTTATCCTTAGTATGCTTTGTAAAGCTAGGTGCACTTGTTCAGAAGGACACAAAAGAGATTTCATCAAAACAATGGTCCCCCAGGTGCAAGCATAAGCTGATTTCATTTTTTACCAAATAGAAAAATATATGTCAAGAATTTAAGTCTTTAAATTACCACCACAATAAGAAAATAAAAAAAGAAGTAATAAATAGGAGAACGTTGTCATTTACTTTTAACAGGCACTACAACCTATACACAATAGTTTATGGAAAAAATAGTAATACAGTGTTTGCAATGATAGCCAAGAAGTTTATTTCCACAAAACAACAGCAAACAAAGTAGCAAAATGCCCGGTACTTGCTAGCTCAGCATAGGAGGATATAACCTTCTTCTCTATTAATCATGTTTACAATCAACTAGTAATCTAACAAATTTGGATCTTCCCTTATTCATGTATCCAAGCAAGGCTGCATCGCCAAAAGGAAACAAAATTACAAACCCATTCCACAAAATATTTCACAATAGCTTTGATTACAGGTACCTAGAAGTTCAATAGAACCAAATCATGATCATAAAGAAAGCAAAACTAGCACATTACAAAACCCTAATCAAGGTCAAATAATGCAGCAGAGAAAATCAAACTCCTAGGATGAGATTAGAATACCAAAGCCCACAAACAAAGAAAGAAATATATAGACGATCTTGAATCAACCTTGAGAAATTCGCCTTCGCTTTAGCCAAAAAAAAAAAAAGTTAGCGCCACTAAAAGAGAATGAAAAAGGTTTATAGAATGGAGAAAATAAAAAGCTGATGAGTGTAGTAAGACAAAGAAGGACGGTAGAAGCGTTGACAAAATAAAAATGAAAATTAAAAAATAATAATAATAATAATTAAAAAAAAAATAAAAAAGAAAATTGAAAATGATTATTAAAAAGGAAAGGTGTTATCAGGATCAGGTCGTGGAAGTCAACAGTGGCGCGGTGAGGTAGACGGTAGACTTTTTTTTTATCTTTTTTGTAATGAGAAGCACTATAGTGTAAATTCCGGTCGATCTAACATATAACCCATATCAATTTACATGTGCCAACACTTAAAGCTTTCACTGTTTGTCAAGAAATTCGAACCAGGGACCTGGGCTTTGCCAAGCCGGCTCTTCACCACCAAGACAAACAGTGGTGGGTGCGGTGAGGTAGACCGTTGAACAAAATGTGCCACCGACCGTTGGGGTATCAGGAATTGCAGCTGCGATACACTCCCCTGATGCGCCAACTGGTCCACCACTTCGTGGGATATATGTATGGGACTTTTGAGCCGGTCAATGATAAATTCCCATATATATTATATATATAAATTTTAAACTTATAATTTTTTAATTGATAGTAAAAACTCCCAACAAACAAAATCAAAGTGAATTATCTCTCTGTTATACATACAATAAAATTTCTTTTCAGTAATTATGACATTTTGATTCGAATAATGCTCGACTAAGCCCCACTAGCTAACTAGTTAGCCCACTAGCTAATTAGTTAGCACAAGTTAATTGGACAATTCTACCAAACCTGATTCAACATAGGCTAAGCTCATCGCAATATGTGGAAATCCTAGAATTCAACTAGCTACAGAGGCACAGGAGCGGAGGCAAAATTTTTTTCATTTGGGGCACAAATTATTGAATTAAAAAAAAAAATCTCTCAACCTTTTTCATTTGAACTTGGGACCGTCATAGGCAGTTTTAGTTTTTTTTTTTTTAAATCATCAAACTCAATTTAAAAAGATAGAAAATATGATAATGGGAAAAACTTATAATTGAGAATGTTAAATCTTGAAACTCATCCTACATATTATATATAATTTCTCCCATCGTGTCTTCATTTCTTGAAATCGTTGTATAATCATGTCATGATCAATACTATTAAGTATATCTTTTTCAGTATAAGTTGATAGTTATTTATCCAGTAGTCTTTCATATGATTGCATACGATCGCGTAAATATTTCTTTATAAATACTGGCTCTGCTACTAGTGTCAACTTATTTTGAAGCTTATCAATTTTCTCATAAATTTATACGACTCCAAATTATTGAAGTAAAAAAATTGCGATTATCTGACAATAATTTCAAACATTAACAGAAAAAAGAAAATGTGTAATCTAAATCCTAAAATAGTGCAAAAATTATATTAATAAACATGGTTAGAAAAATTATTACCAATTAAATAAAGAACAACTATTTAATTTATTTTAGTATTAGTAAATCTTGATAATAATCTTAAGCTTTACTTTTCAGCATACATATATTAAGATTGGATCCCATATGAAAATTATCTAAGCCTTTTTTAAACTAATGATTCATTGTATCTAGCAAAAAATAAATATGAGTAAAATTTTACATTTATCTTCACCATCTCTCTCTCTCAATATCTCTAATTTATTCCTTTCCCTTTGGCCTTTTAACGCCATATCGCAATAATGACAACTCCAGTGGTGCCTTTGATGGCACTGCGGTATTGATTTGTCGGACGTTGTGGCGTTAGATGAGACTTAGAGGTTTTTTACTTTTTATTTATTTTTTAACACAATAACACTAAAATAATACATTTTCACTAAAAATATAATGCATAAAATAATACATTATTTACATTTATCATATTGTACGATTCAGATCGTGCAGTACGATATATGCTCTAATTCGACCTCTTGATTTCAAATTCAAAAATAAGTAAATAGTAATAAACAAAATCATGTTTTGTATTAATTGTATGAATAGCTTCATCCAGTATTAAAATTACAAATTTTGAATTTGCCTATTTTTAAAAATATCAAAATTTTAATGGCTGGAATTTGAAATAGCTAATCATACAGTATGATATAGAACGTACTATATGATTAGTTAGAAAAATATTTATTTTTAAAATTTGATTAATTAATGCCATTTGATTTTTTGAAATTATGAATATATATATATATATATATATATATATCATAAAATATGAAGTGAATCATACAATATGATTTAACAAAAAGTCAAGTGTTATATACATTATGCCATTACATGATTCTTCTTTTGCTGTACTCAATAATTCTCTCAATGTGATATGATCCATAGTTTAGATTGATATATAATGGCGATATCTCTAGTATGATATGAAACATTATATTGATACACCTGAACGTGATATACTGATATATTTGAATATGATGATACTACACTTAAATATGATAGTATGCATAGCATTGATATACCTGAACATGATATGTATTTGTAATACATATAATGACTAATTAACATACATGATGATGCAAGTGTGATACCTGTATTAATACATTAATTGATATAATGATACACATAAAATACATGCACTAACATGCTGAAAAAATTGATTATAAGAGATAAAATTAATTACATGTGTGACCTTTTATTAGGCAATAGAGAAATATTATGAGTTACAAATATGTTCAAGAAAACCCATACATTCAACCAAACAATCTTTTTCAATTCTAAAATATCAAAATAACAGTTAAACATATCAAAAAATTTACTAATCAAATTTCATCGTCAAAATGAAAAATAGTTTAAAATGCCACGGGTGAAATTGCATTTCCGTTTTCAAAGAAAAAAATCATTCCTCAACATAAATACTAATTTTGCCACTTGAAATCAAAATGCAAAGAGTTTTTCAAGGGAAATTAGAAAGATGAGATGAAAAGAAAAAATCAAGGTAGAACGGGGGCTAAAATAGCCCCAAATATGTCCCCAATGGGTAGCAACGACTACCCTACATTTTCTATAAAAATAACTCAAAATTGCTTGCCACATAGTATGCAAACTATCTGATAGAAGGTGAATATGTAACAACTAGCCTAAATCAAAATTTTTCTATAAAAATAATTCAAAATCGCTTGCCACGTGGTATGCAAACTACCTAATAGAAGATGACTATCTAACAACTAGCCTTAATCAAAATTGTTTTCTCATCACCAGGGCACATAAATAATTATAGGAGTTTGTGTCTATGAGAAACCTAAACTCTCATCTTAAAATCCTTGTAAAATAAGAAAAAAAAAAATCTCTAGATAATGTCTTGTCTTCAGTCTAATCTACCTTCAAAAAATTAAACACGGAATATATCTGTTAAAACTCTCTCAAAATGCAAAGAAGTAGAGACTCAAAATTTTAGGAGCCCATAGTACATATTTAATAGAATTTATTTAAGTTTTTCATGCCTTTAACAAGGCCAGCCTTCTTTTAAACACATGATCTTCTTAGCAAATACCACATTTAAATGGAACAATTAGGTGAAATACCTATGAAATATTTGTATTCAACAAATTCAACATAAAATCAACCCGCAAAAGACAAAAGATTATATTGATGTTCCCTCCAAATATAAGTTTTTCTATTTGACAAAGAAGTAGGATTTCTTCTTGCCTTTCCAAGATAGATTGCAATTACATATTGATTAATGCTCACATTTCAAAGGAGAGATTTATTTCAAAAAGTACTTTGGGGGATGACAATTATATCGAAACAAGGCCTTCATAGGACCAAATCAAGCTTACAAAATCCTCTTAACACTCCAATAATTTTCCTAATTTATCAACAATTTCAACCACATCAACACTAGCTATACCACAAAACCACATATTTCTACATGTACCCCATTTATTACAAATAGAACCCTCAAGAATCACACAACCTTTCTTAGAAAATAAAAAAAATATAGGAAAAAACTAATATAAGCCCAAAATATATACATCACGATACAATCAATGGCAATTTGTACTGCTCTATCGCCTTCTTGCTGAAGTATGAATAGAATAACAACTGCATCGTCCCCAGAGCTGTCCCAATGCCATTGGGGATCTGAATCCACAAAAAACAAAGTTCAAATATCAACGTAACCTTATAAAATTAATAAAATAAAAGATAAAGTCAGTTCTACTCTTGCTTTTCTCTTACATATATGAAGAAATCATGCAGAAGAACTCCATACGCAAAGAATGAGATGCTCATGAAGAAGGTTGCAAGCGAGAGGTGGAAAGGCATGAACTCCACACTCTTCGTACGAATCACCAAACGCTGGAACAAAAGCAGTAGGAGAAGCAAAGAGAATTAATCATAAATATAATGTTGAAATTGAATGGAAGGATGTTTAGGTTTATTTGAGGGATTTTGGGCTTACAATAATGGAAAGGGGTGATGCAAACATGGAGACTAGAGAAGCTATACTGAGGTATCCAACAAAGTTCTGTCGTGCTTTGCCTTGTAATAACTCAAGGCTCACAGAAGCTATCAAGGCAAAGGCACAGAGTACAGCCACAAGTAAAACAGACACGTTTACCTGCAGCAAAAGGTTAAGAAAAAATTCAGTAAAAAAATATGATTAAGAGATGAATTTGTGATGAAATGAAAATGAAGTAAAGTGACTGTATAGGTCATCAATTCAGTTATTTATTAAAATAAACTGAGGCCTCGTTTGAGACGGCTTAATTTCGTCTTTTCAGTTTCAAAATCTCAGAAATTTTTTTTGATTGTTGTTTGTATGTACCACTTTTACAGAAATACTTTTTAGAGAACTATATCTTTGTAATGTTTTCAAAAGTTTTCTATATTAACTTTTTAGAGAACCATATCTTTGTAATGTTTTCAAAAGTTACAATAGTTTTAATACAACCTTTTAGGAAAGATGCAGAATAACCAAATGAAGATAACCCATAAAAAATGAAGTTATGTGAAAAGGAATTATACAGAAGTTGTTCTTCCAAACATTTAAAATAACTGATTTTGACTTACTGAACTTCAAAACTGAGAAATTAAATCGAATCAAACGAGGCCTGAACCGGACTGTACTTAATCCTTGTTGAACTCAAAAGGCTTGTATAATATCAAATGGCCATATATAAATACACAAAAAAAGGTTCAAAATAGCCAACGATTGTTCATATATGATCAATTTATAATCAGAATATCACACATTTATCCAATTTAATTCGTTGACTATACAGATCCTACATTATCAGAGGCCAAGGCTTCATTTGAGACAGCTTTTGACCATGACTTTTTTACTGTTTTCATGAAATTTTTGTGCTAGAATCCTGTTGTAGAAAATAGTAAGAAAATTTCTCAAATGAAGCCTAAATTGATACAAATTTTGTAAAGCCAATGGATTAAATTAGATAATTATAATATATGAATAAACCAGAGACTATTTTGAATAATTATAGTAGAATAAGCAAACAGCAGAGATGACTGAGCGAAATTATAGAGATCAATGGCTTACTTTCTTTCCTTTCTCAGAATAGATGATGAAGAGAATGCAGTAGAATAGTTGGAAAAGTGCTCCAAATGAATTCACAGTAGCAACGAGTATGGCGCCATGGGTTACCCATGGAAGCCCATACCATCCGCAGATCAAACAGTTGAGGAAGGAGTAAATGTAAGGTAACCCAGAGAATTGCTCTGTCGATTTGTTTTTTATTATTCTCTTAAAAGTTGGTCTGATAAGAAAATCATCATAATATAACTGATCAGATAAAACACTTGTATTATGTGCAGGTATATTAGAAAAGAAGCTTTATATGCTCACATTGGAGAGAGGAAGAGCACAAAAGCGAAGATGTTGCCTGTAACATTTGCATAACGCATAACAGTATCAGAAAAGAAACAATGTGAGAACAGTTGCAATGCTTTCATATCTGATCATATTTTGAATTCTAATGAAAAGATTAAGGACAAACAAATGAAATATTTATTATGACTAAAAGACAAATCAGGACAAGAAAATGTATAGGCATCAAATTTGGAGAAATGTTAATCATTCCGAAGTATTCTCATGGATACATATAAACATCATGAATTGGAGATAACAAATTTTATATTTTTTATTCAACAAATTTATAATTCAGAGATATCCATAAATTATTTTCATATTACAGAAGCGACTTTATTGGCTTCCCTAGTATCATGAAAAAATAAGTAGGTCGAGTGATAGAGCTAAAAAAAATAAAAATAAAAAAACAAACAAACTTTGAGTGATAGAGCTCAATCTGACTATGCAATATGTTTACTTGTATCATATAAATGTAGGGGTGTGTCAAAAATTGACACGACCCGAAAATTCGGCTCGAACCCAATACAAATTTTCAAATTTGAAGTCGTTGCTTCCGAGCTCCCATTATTGCTTCCAAGCTCCCATTGTTGCTTCCGAGTGAACTCTCGTTGGTGCTTCCGATCAAAAGTTAACTTCACGATGGAGAAAGTTTCCTCTATGCCGGTTGGGTTAAGGTTGACCCAAACCAGAAAGTCTGAAAAATTGACCCGTTTGTAAAAATGGGTCGGGTTCAGGTCGGGTTGAATAGTGCCGGGTCAGTTCCGGATTGGACCCGAGTCTGACCCGTGACCTGGCAAAGTCCCGAGTGGTTTCGTGAAGATGTGTGGCTCGAGTTATGCATTAAGTCAGGAAATTTATATAAAGTATATGATGACGGTTAATTTGGGGGAGTTTATTTAATGTTTTTATGTTAAAAGGAAAATAGTTAATAAAAAATAATGTACATTTTGATGATAGTATTTATACTGCTATTTTAAAATTTCATCTTAAAAAATTATTTAAAAAAAAACATTTTTAAGATTATGATAGAAAAAATGAGCTTTTAAAATCATAAATGAAAAAGTATAAACTGCTCCAAATAAAAACAAAGAGAAAACAAAACAATAGAAACACACTTTTAGGTTTTGTTTGGGACAATTTTCTTAATGTTTTTAGTATGAGTTTAATTTTTTTTTCTAAAAAATTATTTTAAGAAGCAGTAAAAAAACAGTAAGTAAGATAAATTTATATATTAAGCTTCCAAAACATAGCTTATGATGCACATCATTCCTATACCCCCATCTTGTTTATGTAGGGGATGGACCGAGAGAGGGTGCATCGACAATAGTTAGTAGAACTAAGCATCTACAAGCTATATACATTCTAATATATAATCATGCATGTATGTTCTTATGTTGTTTTACATGTCACCACTTAGTTTTCTCTGCATACACTCTATTATTTGACTGATCTTGTTTACATGATTTACTTAAAGGAAAGTGCTGTAAAATAAAATCTTTCAAGTTATTAGCTAATTTTTAGCCAATAAATAGATTATTGGGCGAAAATTATTATCAGCGGATTTTTCACCAGAAGTTTCAGCGAGATATCCATCAAAAAGTACTAACAGTCGATTCATCCAACATAAGAGACTTTTCTGAAGAATTTTGGCTTCCTATACACCATTTTTAAGGGGGGTTTTACAGCCAGCGTAGTTCGCCGAGAAAATTTTTCCGGCAGAAAGTCGCCCATTTTCAGCCAAAAATCTGCAGAAAGACCAAAGGCTACTTTTTGTGGTAATATAGTACTGATATAGACAGAGCAAAAAGGAGATTTACCAGCGATTCCTGCTGCAAGGCTGCAGACTTCATAGTAATACAACGATGATCCCGAAGTACTCATCGCATGAAGCGTTGCTCTTAAGATCGATCAAGACTATCGTGACTCGCAAGCAAAACAAATCCCTCTCTCTCTCTCTCTCTCTCTCTCTCTCTCTCTCTCTCTCTCTTCTTTGTGTTTCAGTGGGACTCTGAAACTACTAGCTAGCTTTCAAGAAAGAAACAAGAGTATGAAGCGTAATTTAAAGCTGAGCGGCAGCTAGAGTTGGTTTCTCTTGTCTCTAACTCTTGCTCATAATAATTAAATTAAGTGGTATGTATGTAAATCTCCCAAAACAGAAATAGAAGAATGAATTAATTAAGGAGATGAAGATAGAGGCCACCGGAAAGACACGTTGGCAACTGAGAACTCGTCTCTTTTCCTCCACTTGTTTCTATGATTTGGAGGCTGGTATCGATTTCCCGTGTCCAAATGTCCAACTCCTGGCAAGCTCTTCTCGTTTAGCGTGGACATCCCCTCCACTTGTACTGAAACTTGTCATGAGGAGGGCAAAATGAAGGGGATTGATTACTGTTAACGGCTCTAAATATTTCATTTGTCATCATATTTTATTAATTAAGGCTTTAGGCTTTTTTTTTTAAAGTAATTTTTTAGTATAAAAATTAAAATTTTTGTACTAAAAAGCTGCATCATAAAGCAGAAAAAAAGCTGTTCCAAATGAAACCTAAATTACATTCTAAATAATTAGATGGTGTTAGCAAAAAAGAAATATTATTTGGTTGATTAATGTTAACGACAAATTGATTGGTTGGATGACTAGATGGATTCTTCGTGCGATCTGGATGATGAAGTTGGGGCCTTACAAGGCTCGTATGGTTTGGATATCTCTGGGGCTTTGGGTCCCTCTTTCTCTCTTGGTGGAAAACGACGTCATTGCAAATATATAGGAGATAGGTTTTCTCCTTATTCTTTTGATTTCGGTTGCTGGGCTGTATCTTTATTATTCCTTGCTGCTCTTGGGATTTGTGTTTTGGGCTAGTTTGGAGTTCGTTTGCTTGACTCCCTTGCCTGTTATTGTATGTTTTTGGTATTGGACGATGACGAAACAGTTCTTCTGCATGCCCCGTGGATGGTCGGGATTGGTTGCAACCTTGGTGATCTTTTGGTCTTTGATTTTGGTAATCCTCTTGGCCTTGGATTCTTTGTGTTTGGCTCTTTTTTTCTCCTTGGATGGCCCTAGCCCGACAATCAGGTGGATTTTGATCTAGTTGTTCGGCCAGTCATGAATTGTTCTTTTTTCTATATGTAACTTTCTTATATGTAGCATTTCTTCTTCTTTGGGCTATTGTTGTAATGTTTCTCTTGTTTAATGGAATTTTCTTTGGAAAAAAAAACAAATGAAAATTTTCTTCACTGCAATGGCTAAAGACAAGTCACATTGAAGTTTGAAAATTAATGAGACCAGTATGATTAAGGCTGCATGATAAAAAAAAAATTTTGAACTTTGAAAATTTACCCAAACTTCATTGCATATTAGTTAATCTCTTGCAACAATTTTAACCGTCATAAAAAGATTAGCAGTTGTTCTAAAACTAGAATCGCTGCAAGATCGCTGTGCTCGTTGTTCGTCGCGAAGGGCTTTCAAAGCCATTTACCAACCTTTGCAAAGAAATATTACAGCACTATGTCTAACAAAAATTTAAATAGTGACAAATTGCATCAATTGCAACATTTAAATTGTCGTAATTAATGCAATTTCTTTTAAAGTTAGTGACATAATACTAAAATAGTATGATACTTTCCCCCAAAAAATAAAATAAAATTGTATGATATTTGGTGTTGTAAATTAAAATAAATTTATGAAATGTTTAGATTAATATTTTGAAATTGTCATAAATTTTTTTGGTATATAATGTATTCGAAACAAGTAATTTAAGTGAGAAGTTATACCATAGAGAAAAATAATAATAATAATTACAATGAATTATATTAGAGGACAAATTTTGCACAATACTAAAAAAAAATGTTATAATGTGTTGTTAATAAATTTTAGGGATTTTTACATATATAACACTTCAAGCTAGTGTAAATACATATTCAACACTCAAAGTTCTATATTTACTTATATACCACCTAAAACTTACATTTTCATCTATTCTAACCCCCCCCTTAAAAAATCCTGCTTCTCTTTTGCTAGGTTCGCAAGCTGAGTCTGCTCGACTGCTTCCATGTGCTCTCTCAGATGCAACAATCTCTCGGCTGCGCGAAGTAAGCTTCTGCCTCCACGACCAACCCTGTTTCCTCATCCTCCTCGCCATCGTTCAGGAGATGAACGGTGATGATGAGTCTCTTGATTCACCTTAAATTGTGGGAGAAAGTGGGAATAGTGGAGCTATATGCTTGCCCATATGAGATTATTAGAGCAACGAAAGAATGCCCTAATATACCCTTTTCTCTCTCTCTTATCTGGGAGAGACTCCTCACTTCTTTTCAAGCTTCCCAAGTCTTCCAACCCTCACAACAATTGGACTTGTTATCTCTACTTCAGGATGGACATGCAGATAAACCTTCTTCACTTAGTTTTGGGCCATCTGTGGTCAGATCTTCTTGATGTCCAAGTTCTGAACAACAATGGTCATGCTGGTTTAGAAACTCTGCAAAATACGTTGGATGTTTATGATGCCAACCTCTGAACAACTCGTAGTGATCGTATATTACATTGAGCTCGTCCAGGAGAGAGATCGCACGGCGGGAGAGTCTCGCGTAGTGACCGGAGTTTCCCTCGAGCTCGTCCAGGCGAGAGATCGCAAGGCGGGAGAAGGGATTTTTGACGGGGGTTATACCAGAGTGTTAGAATAGATGAAAATGTGGGTTTTAGTTGGTATATAAGTAAATACAAAACTTTGAGTGTTGAATATGTATTTACACTAGTTTGAAGTGTTATATATGTAAAAATTCCTAAATTTTAATGCTTTATCTATCATGTGATCGATTATATGTATTATTTCTACTCCATAAAATTTTATTTTTTTTCTATCTATTATTTTTCCTCTACAAATTTTAAAAATATACATACTCGAGGAGTGGTGGAACCGGTAGCGCAGGGAATATACTTCCTTCCTAGTCCTTGTTAGCTGCTAATTTTTTTTTTTTTTTTGGGAAAATCTTAGCTGCTAATCTATAATTGCCATTTTTTTAATGATGTGCGGTGGTATTTTTTGCTTGTGGTCTGCCAGAAATTTTGACCCATCTTGTCGTGCTGGTGTGGACGATGATGATTGTTTTTTTTCCAGCGAATTATTAAATTATAAAATGTCACCTTCCAACTAACAGGCTAAAATAAATGAAGTATGAGAGAGTTTTTTTTTTAGTGAGGAAATAAAATGAGGATTCTTCATTTATTAAAATCATATATAATTTCTCTAGCTGATTCTTCATTTTTTAAAATCATTGTATAATATATTCATTGCTAATACTATTAAATATATCATTTTTAACACAATTAAGTAAACAATCATTCATTCAGGAGTCTTTCATAAGATTGCATAAACGATTCTTTATAATGTTCATAGAAGAAAATAATCATTCAACTCTTGTCATAGCTATTGACAATATTAGAACAAGTTTTATAAGTAAGAACATCAAAGAATAAATATATTTCTTCTTAGTATCAACTTTTTATGAGCAAGTTCTTCAATTCCTTTTAAATTCATAATGCATCATTCGATCTCATATCAACAATAAAATTTTAAATTCAATTATTTAGTATAATGAGATACATTTTTGAACAATTTGACGGATAAAATTTTGCTAGGCATAACAATTGTTCTTTATCAAAAAAAAAAAAAAAAATGATTGACATTGATTCAAACATGTCACACACATAAGCAATTCTATATTAATTTTATCAAACCAGTTATTGAGCTCTTGAAGTTGCATATATATATAACAGTATAAAATAATTTGATTTGATAATGATGTCTACTTGATATATACTTTTAGTATGACGCCTTGATCTTCCTCGCTTCACAAATGTATTAGTCATTTTTTGAAATATTTATGCTATTCTTCTTAGAAAGTAATCCAAATTCTTTAAACAAAATGTTTCATCCATCATTTCTCATATTTTAATGTCTTTGTTTAGAAACTTTACCAAAGTCATGATATTTATAATATCTTAATCTTTTCTTTTTAGTATATCTGATAACTCATTATAACTCATAATATGGTATTTCTCATATGCAAATTGAAAAGAAATTCAAATAGGGAATATGCTTCATATTTTTGCTCACTGTTAAATCGCTTATTTATCACTATCTCAAGAACATCTGTTATAAACCTAAATAGAAGAATCAAACTGATGAATGAATTGTAGTGGAATCCCAATGAGTGCCTTCTGGTCTTTGAAGAGCAATTTCTTACTTTAAACCTCAACCTTTTGTAACTCAACTTTTCAATTGCTCAACAATTTTCTCATAATGCTTTCCTCTTAATATATCTCTTCTTATGTATGAACTACCAATAATATTTAACAAATTAGTCACAATATTAAAGAAGGAAGTGACATTGACATAATTTTTTGGGACTGTAGCTAATACTAGTTTGAGTTCTTGTACAAAATAATGTACATAATAAGCTGAATGATTTTCTTTCATGATCAATATTTTTAGTTTATTAAACTCACCCCACATATTGCTTGCTCCATTGTAATCTTGTCCATGTAGCTGTGCCATACTCAATCCATACTTCATAAAATGTGCATCAATAACCATCTTTAATGTTGGAGTTTTTGTGTCTTTTATATAAATAATTCTAAGAAAATGCTCAATAACACATCCTCATGTATCAACATAATGTAAGATAACAATCTATTCTTTAACTAATATATCCCGAGATTCATCAAGTAAAATTGTGAATACATCATTTTTAATTCATTGATTATAATATTGAAATCGCAATTGTAGCAGCTTATGTGATTTCTTTTTGAATTTTTGGAGCTATTAGTTTATTATTTCGAGAAGCATTATAAAAACAACTTTACTTATGCCTTAATTGTGGCTAGCAAGAAAGCGTAGTAGTTTAAATTTTTTTCTTAATTATTAGAATCCTCTAATTCATCATGCTAGTGGAATATTAACCCCTGCTGTAAAAAGAAAACGTACATAATTAACCCTTGCATTTAATCGTGTATGATAATATTTTTTATTTTGATCAGAAGGTTTTTTAAAATCAAATATGATATTTCTTTTTTGATTCATTTAATCTTCATATTTTCATCTAGTAATGTTATGTGC